TGGGGACATATCCTGGACATGTGCATTTTCATCAAAAGTATGCTTACAATATTCTCCAAACATTTTTTCTACTGACAATTTGCTGAAGAACATTAATTGTTCATATCAAGCGCTATTATTATTATTTCCAGTTACTACCAGTTTAGTGAGTAATGGGGGTAATGAAGATGAAGGGGGAGCCAATTCCCTTCCACAGGAATTCTGACACCTCAAGAGACTGTTACCCTGATGTCTCCCTGCTCTTCTCCAGTAGTATCGTCCAGAAGGGGACCTGTATTGACCTGACTTCTCCCCCCTCTTCCCAGTGGTATCTCCAAGGAAGGGGACTGTACCACACTGACCCCTTCTACCTCCGCGCAGTGGCGTCTCCCTTAGAGATGAGAACGCACGCTCATACTCCCATACGAGGGGCATCTCTGTTTGCTTAAATTTTTTTACAAAACCGTAGAGCCCCGTTCCAAAGACCAATTTCTCCCGGAAGAGTGTCCTCAGAAAGTTTCCTCCACTGAACACCCCCTCAGCCCTCCTTCTGTGGGACAGCCCACTGTACGGAATGGGCACCAAGATGGCGGCCCTCACGGAGAAACGTCTTGGCGCCGCCATGCTTCTCGTTTGACAACAGCACTCATGGACAAAATCTCTGTGGATCCGTAGCAGCGCCTGGTTCGGTGTGAGTAGACTACAGCCTTTCAGTCATTGTGAATGTGTGCAAAACTAACACTATAGGGGTAGTGTCAGGGGTGAGGACAGGAAACGGAAGTGGCCCTCAGAGGTCATTTAAGTCTTGTTGGCGCGCGGCGCTAAAGCGAGTGCATGAGGGTTTGTGGCGTGACAGGCTCAGGTGATTTTGATGTGATGGCTTTGTGGGCGTTGGGGGAATGATAAATTGGCACCGTGTGGTGTCAGTTGGTGGGGAATTGAATCTAGTCAGTGGGAATCTGTGGGGGCTCAGGCATGGGGGTCTCTGGGGTGGTCCGGTTTTAGATTCTTCCTTGTGTCTTGTCAAGTCTTAACATTTAGTGTGTGTTTAGATATTTCCTGATCAGTTCTCCCAGAGGTTTGCTAATTTTATTAGTCTTCCCAAAGAACCAACTTGTGGCTTCGTTGGTCTTCTCTGATGGACCTTTATTTTCTTGTTCCTTAATTCTGCTCTTATCGGTACTAGGCTTTTCCTAACTTCTTAAATTGGATGTTAGCTTATTGCTATTCAGCCTTTCTTTGTTAAAAAAAAAACTTCTGTGAATATAAGTTTCCCTTTAAGAATCTTTTCCTCTGCATTCTGCGATATTTTGTATATACTGTCTTGTTATTACTTTTATGTTATTATTATTGTGTTTATTTTTTCTTATTTATTCTTTGTTGCTTTAGCATAATACTTTTGGGAGGATTGACATTTTTATTAAATCATCTTATCTAGGGCTATGGTATGTCCAGGTGACTATTTTATATTTGTCAGCTTTTTTATTCTTTTTAAGTCATATAGGTCCAGCTCCTTAAGAAATTAATTCTTACATACTTCATATATTTCTGTTATTAATGCATGTTTTTCATTTCCGTTTGCTCATTGCTATTATATAGAGAAACTATCTGCTTATAGACTGAAACTATCTGCTCTTACAATTTTATCTTCTATCCAACCCCTTATCAAATTACCCTATACATTTTTACATTTAACTTATTTATTTATTTATTTTAATTTAACCAGAGAGAGAATGAGAAAGCAAACTGCCAGGTCCGGGACTTGAACCGTGGTTAGCAATGTGGGAAGTCCAGTGCCCCTAACCACCATGTCACCTGCTGGCCTCTACCCTATGAATTCTAGTAGCCTTTTAGCAGAATCTGGTAGGTTTTTCACGTGTGAAATATTGGCAAAAAAAGCAATAGTTTATTTCTTTCCAATACTTACCCTGATTTACTCTATTGTGCGACCTAGAGCCTGCAAAACAATTTTTCTTTTTTTTGGAGAGATTTTTGCTATAGGGCGCGTATGCTTGACAGAGAGACAGAGAGACAGAAAGCGAGAAATCATCCCCCGGGGGGATAGTCATGCCACAATCCCTTCTCCTCCGTTCTCCTCTCGGGAACTTGGGCACGCAGGCACATGCGCCCGGCGTGAGTTTAAACCACTGGGTCTGGGGCTCAAACCGTGGTCAACTACATGGGAGTCCAGTGACATAGGCATTATGCTAACTGCTGGTCCTCCTGTAAAACAATTTTGAGTTATAGCAGACATCCCTATCTTTTTACCAGTTTTTATGGCAATAGCTTTATCATTTTACGTTTTAGTATGGTATTTTAGGGCTGTGATTTGTAATTGATTTTTGTGATACTTAAGTGATTTACTTACTTGCCAATTTTAGTTTGAGCTTTCATTTGTAATGGCTGCTGAATTGTGTTAGATGCTTTTTTTGGTGTAAGTTAATATCACTATGTTTCCCCCTATAATTTGTCGATGTAATAAATAATACCGTTAATGCAGAGCCATTTTCTTTTGGAAAGAAGTGGCTAAACACTTTCCTGTAGAAGAAGTGTAGAGAGATTTTTCACCTTAAAATGGAAAAATGCCAAAAGACAGCAGAAGAGACAACACATTTCCTTTCATTTACATCACCCAGTTTCCCAGTTTCCTACCTGTATAATCACCCACCAGGTCTCCAGGGACAAGTGCCTCCCTAACCCACCCCATGAACCTTAAGCACCACTTACTGCCCCATTTCTACCTTTTCCCTAAACCCAAATCTGCCTTGAACGTGAGTTGCGGAGCAGGCTGGCTGGGTAGGGTGTTAAACACTCTATAGAGTCACCAAAGAATAAGGGACTCCAAGCTCATTAATTTGACTCCAAATATCATGATCATTTCCATAATTCACCTTTAACTAATAGAGTGGGGAGAGGCCAAACTTTGTGGGGTGAATGTGGAATGACACTGATGATGTGGATATTGTCCTTATAGGATTTCTTGGTGTCTCTGTGGAGACATTGAGCCTTACTCCTTCCTGGAGGCTGTGATATTTTCTGCCTACAGATAGCCCTCCAGCTTTGGAAGGTGGGCAGTGGCCCAGAGAGAACATGTCAACTAATGGGAAATCACCCCAGAGATTCCCTGCCCTGATTCCAGGAGAACCTGGCAGATCATTTGAGGTAAGGGGGAAGAGCCTACTATTTTTTATTTGTTCTTTCTTTAATTATTTTAATTATTATTTTTTTTTAGTTACAATTTTATTTTCAGATAGTTGTAGATTCAAATGCAGTGTTACCATTCACCTGACTTCCCCTATTGGTTGTGTCTTGTAAAACCTTGGGACAAGATCACACCAGGATATTGAGATAGAGAACATTTCCATTACCACAGGTATCATCTCAATCATGTTGCCCTTTAATAGTCACAACCACCTCCCTCCATCCTCCACTCCCTCCTTAACCCTTGGCAACCGCTAATCTGTTCTCCAATACTATTGGGTTGTCAGAAAAGTCATGATGTATTTTTTTTCTATGTTTTTCTATGCAAAAATGCATCATGACTTTTCCAACGACCCAATATAATTTTGTTATTTCAAGAACGTTATATAAATAGAATAATACATCACATAACCTTTAGAGACTGGCTTTTTTCATTCAGCATAATTCCCTAAAGATCAATCCAGATTCTTGAGTATATCAGTTATTCATTCCTTCTTATTGCTGAGTAGTAGTCCTTGGTATGGATGTACCACAGTTTGTTTAACTATTCACTGGTTGAAGGACATCTTGGTTGTTTCTAGTTTTTGGCTAATATGAATAAATTTGCTGTGATCATTTGCATAAAGCTTTTGTGGGATAAGTACATGCACATGTAAATTGCTGGATTGTATGCTAAAGTGCATTTATTATAGAACAGCATAAACAGACTCTTTAAATTCTTTAGCACTGTTTTAGATTTACAGAAAAATTTAAGAAGATAGTACATATAATTCCATATACTGTCTCCCCCCTCACCTCCAGCAGTTTCCTCTGTAATTATTATCATTAATTTTTATTGCCAGAAGGTGTGTGCACTTTCCAGAGAGAGAGAAAGAGGAAAAAAGAGAGAGAGAAATTGCCCCCCCAGTGGGGTATGATTGCACCCAGTCCTTTTTCATCCAGTTCTCCATCCTGTAGGATTTTAGGCACGCATGCCTGGCATTTTGTTTTTGTTTTTGTTTAGAGAGAGTTTTGCTATAGGGTGCACGCTTGCCAGAGAGACAGAGAAAGAAAGAGAGAAAGCAGAAAATCACCCCTCAGAGGGGATGGCCACACCGCCATTCTCCTCTCGGGATTTTGGGCAGCCATGCACACACACCAGGAATGAATTTAAGCTGCTGGGTCTGGGACTCAAACTGTGGTCAACTATGTGGGGAGTCTAGCGATGTAACCATTATATCGCCATCTGCTGGTCCCAACCTGTCATGTTTTTCAAGCTCCCAGGGACTGGGATTTGAACTGCCCTAGAGATCTGGCTTCCTATGCATGGTGCTTAACTGTTATGCTAGGGGACCGATCTGCTTCCTCTTTTATTAACATCTTACATCAGTGTGGAACATGTGTTACAATTATTGAACCAATAGGGATACATTATTATTAATTATAGTCCACAATTTCCGTTAGGTTCAGTTTTTTGTGTTATATTGGGTTTTTGGAAAAGTCATTGTACATTTTTTTAATTTGACCAGAGAGGGATAGAATGAGAGAGAAAAAGTGAGAAAGCAAGCCCCCAGGTCTGGGACGCGAATTGCAGTGGGATTCCATGTGGGTGTCCAGTGCCCTGAGCCACCAAGCCACCTGGCGGCTCCAGTCATGACACATTTTTACATAGAAAAAATATGTCATGACTTTTCTGGCAACTAAATACATTCCATGGGTTTTGGCGAATGGATAATGACATATATCTACTTTTACAGTTTCATAAAATTGTACCTGAGTTTCAACTTTTCATCCTTCCATTTCCTCTGCCTGAACCTCTGGCAACCACTGATTTTTTTTTTTTTTAGGTTTTTGCCATAGGGCTCATGTGCTTGCCAGAGGGAGAGAGACATAGAGAGGGAAGTGAGAAATCATGGATAGACATGTGCAATGCCCTCTCCCCCATTCTCTTCTCTGGATTTTGGGCACACACACATGCACCCAGTGTGAGTTTCAAGCTGCCACGTCCGAGATTCGAACCGCAGTCCACTATGTAGGAGTCCTGCATAACTATTACATAATCTGCTGGTCCCTTTAAATGAAGAATTTTAAAAGGGTAAAATGATAATATACTTTTTTTTTTTTTTTTTGAGAGATTTTCACTGTAGGGCGTGTGCGCTCGCCAGACAGACAGAGAGAGACATAGAGACAGAAAGCGAGAAATCACCCCCCAGGGGGGATGGTCACGCCGCAATCCCTTCTCCTCCATTCTCCTCTCGGGATCTTGGGCACGCACGCACACGCGCCCGGCGTGAGTTTTAAGCCACCGGGTCC